TATTTTACTACCTGAGATATCTCAAACAACATTATTTGAAAGTGGTAGTAATGGCATCCTTGTATGGTTCCAAACTCAAAAGAAAGGATTTTAATATCTTACCATTAAATATGATTTTTGCTGATGGATTTTTGATGCTGCCTTTTTATGTGATTAAAAATATTCTCTTCCAATCCAGGTTTTCTAAGACATTTTATCATGAATTGACATTGAATTTTATCAACACTCTGCATCTATTAATATAATCTCATGATTAACAAAAATTATCTGTTTTATTTATCTGCTGAACACATTGATTTGCAAAGATTAAACCAACTTTGCATTTCTGGAATAGAAGCAATTTTTTCTGGTCCTTTTTAAATATTGTTGGATCTTATTTGTTAAGAATTTTTTTTCCATTTATGTTTCTGAGTGAAACTGGTCTGCAATTTTTATTTCTTGTAATGACCTTGTAAAATTTTGATAGCAAGATTATACTAACCTCACAAAATAGATTGGGTTGTATGTTAGTTTCCTACTACTAGTGTAACAAATTACTACAAACTTGGTGACTTAAAACAACAAAAACTTATTCTCTAATAGTTCTGTAAGCTTGAAGTCCAAAACGAAGGTGCCACTAGGGCCATGCTCTCTCTGAGGCTCTAGGGGATAATTTTCTTTGCTTCTTCCAGCTTCTACGGCTCCAGGAACTCTCTGGCATTTGTTGGCTTGTAGCTACAGAACTCCAATTTCTGCCTCCATTTTCACATAACTTTCATCTCTCTATGTTTCTTGGTCTTCTCCTTTTCTGCCTCTTATAAGGACACTTGTCACTGATTTTAAGACACACTCTAATCCACATGACTTCATTTTGAAATTATTACCGTAATTACATCTACAAAGACCCTATTCCAAACAAAAGGTCACGTTTTCAGATTCTGGGAGGACCTATTAGGGGCAAGGGGCAACAGTTCAACCCACTACAGGGTGTATTTCCTTTTTGTTATTCTATGGAAGTGCTTGAGTAGAATCTATGTTATTTTTCCCTTTAAATATTTGGCAGAATTCACAGGTGAAGCTCTCTGAGCTAGGAGTTTCTTTGATTTAAATTATACTTTTATTATCTCATTTTCCTTTCTATTAGATTAGTAATTAAACAAATTTTTTTTCTATTCTTTTATTGGCTACTCTGAAATTATTAAATGCATCCTTAACTTATCAAAGTCTAATATTTATTCCCTTCCTGGACAGTACTTTAACTCCATCTTTAACTTCACCTCCTAATTTATGTGCAGTTTTGGTCATTATTTAAATTTCACATATATTTTAAACATACAATACATAATTATTATTGTTTTCAATATGCATTTAGACCGACCCACATCCTTACAATTATCTTCGTTCCTATTCACAATACCTGTATGATATCATATGAAGACTGATAACATGGACAATTATTCAAAATTAATATTTCCTTTGTTCTTGTTTTAATGACTATACAATACCATTAGAAGGACTATACTAACATAGAAAATTATTTACTAAATGTTTGCTGTCTTCTAGGGACTCCTATAGGTCTTATCAGGGCTATTACCTTGCACAATTCCAGGGGATAACATTAATAAAGAATATGTGAGAATAATGCCCTTGGAATTTCTTGCAAAGTATGCTTCCTGGAGTTTTGCCCTAAATGAAGACACCAAGATAAAAAAAAAAATGTACTAAATTATAACAACTATGCTTAAAATAATTCCCTAGGCATAGACAGAAATGCTGAAGGGAAATCTAACAACATGATAACCATGTTATGTTGAAGTGATAAGGCTATAGGTGATTTCCTTTATACTTTATTCTTCTTTCTAAAATTTTTAATTTAAATGTTAAAAGCATAAGTTATTCACTTTCTCCTCCAGCCTCTAAGTCAAGTCATACTAAAATCTTCCTAGACAGGAAGACAGGCAGGGGTTGCTTCTGTTGATAAAGGTCTCTAAATTAGTTTCACATTCTCCTAATTCATATCATTATTGCAAGTAATTCTTCCTTAAATTCAAAATTTCTCCAAATTATAGTATCTACAAGTTGTCTGGGATCTTGAAAGTCATCTATTCGAATCAGGCAATTACTGCTTAAATTATCTTCTACAACATTATTTCCAAAGTTGACTAGATCTATTTTACTAAAATATAGTCTGTGACCAAGCAGCGGCAGCATCACCTGGGACCTTATTAAAAATGCAGAATCTTAGGCCCCACCTCAGATCTTCTGAAATAGATCAAACCTCTTAACAAAATCCCCAGTTAATCCATGTGCACATTAAGTTAAAAGACTCTAGTGGGACTCCTGGCTTTAATACTTCTTACATTGTATACATTAGGAAAGTAATAAATCTTTCTGGGCTTTAGTTTGTTCATCTGTAAAATGTGAGTGATGACAGTATTTAACATATACAGTGCTTGTGAGAAAAAAAATGAGAAGACATGTTAGGACTGTAAACTTTAATACACTTATGTATGTGTGGTTATTATTAAGTTTAATATTTGGGCAGGAAAGAGAAGTAATGAGAAACCACGTTAGAGTATAGGGATGGAATGAACTCTGTATGTAATAGGTGATATATAAGCGAGACTCAAGTACGGTGAAGATTGCCTTCTCTTCAGGTGCCCCCAGGAAGAGCCATACCAATTTCCACTCACTGTGAGGAAGACTTTTAAATCATCTACAAAACGCCAATAATAAATTAGGCTGACTCATGAGTTTGTGAACTCCAAGATGTCACTTGGAGAGTCCAAGCAAAGCCCAGATAATTGAGCTCCAGAAAATTTGAAGGAGAATTTCCACCCAGGAGAAGGCTGAACGAAATGACTAAGGACATTTCTAACTCAAAAATTCTTGCTTCTGTGCTTCTCCATGAAGAGAGTTGGATGGGAAATAACTCTCCTTTCTTTGCTCCTTTTGTAGTCTGTTCAGAAGAAACCTGATTCCCTGCCAGCTCAGGACTCCTGCACCACCATTTATGTTGCTGCCACAGAACCTGTCCCAGAGCCTATTCAGGTGAGGCATCTGTAGAGAGAGAATAGGTGGAGGAGGGGAAAGGGTAGGACCTGTGTAGCACTAAAATGAAACAGAGTCTTGAAAAGGAAAAGGCAGGTCCTAGCAAGCAGGTAGCAAGGAGCATCTATGGCCTCAATTGCAAGGCTTCTGGATGCTGCCTCCAGCAATGCCCAACTGTGACAGACCCTGAACAAGTCTCTATTCTCCATGATTTCTGAGACATTTTCCTTTTCCTAAGCAGTGCTGTTTTCATTTGTTCCTTTGAAGCTAATGCCAATCCACTCACAGACATCTTCTGCTTTGCCCCTAGGAACCAAGCTCCGTCACAGTCTATGCTAGTGTGACACTTCCGGAGAGCTGACACCACGGGCCCAGTTAAGGGACTTTCTGAAGGAACATGGAGGAGCCAAAATAAACACTGAACTTGGCCCAGGTCTCAAGTTCCCCAGGACACTCTACACATCTGTACTGTTCTTGAATCAACTCTCTGGTGATGTTGCTTCCACATACACCAGTGAAATGGACAAGGAACTGAGGCTCCCAAGCACTTCAACTGCTGTGCAGAGCACAGGCCCAGAACAGAGTTTTCCAACTCTGGTGTAGCAGATGAAATGGATAATGTGGGTCCAGTGAGTCCAGACTTTCAGGTGTCTTGCTCTTTGTGGGGATTGGATAATAAAAGCTAAAGTCAGAAAGCCGGGACATCTAGCACCTATCTCAGACAGCTGACCACCAGCCACAAAGTCTGGAACAGTTTGCATTTTGGCTGTCTGTACTTCATTCTGGGAGCTGAACCCAATCACCATGCAGATCTAGGAAATGAGGGATGAATTCCTTATTATATGTATAACACTTTGAGATTATTCTATAAAAGCTAAAGAGTTAATAAAATGAAAACATGACTTTGAGGTCTCTGAGCTTTGAATAATAGAATGAAGTATTTAAATTAAATTAAAAGTATTGTTCTGTGCAAATGGCATTTGTAATTTAAAGAAGAGTGGCAAATGTTTGGTGACGCCGTTACAAAGGAATTTGAGATCATCGGAATTTGTTCCAGGGTGATTTTTCACTTCTCCAAATGATTTTTAAATCTTAGTTCTCTGTTTACTCCATTGAACAGCAAACCTAGAGCCTCGGCTAAGACTCTTCAACCCGATTCTGAATCTATTTTATATTCTTATAGCCTTATAGCCTTACATCATCGGAGTTTCTATTACCTACTTCCTAATCCCTTCATACCACTCCTCGCACTAAATTTATCCCCATTAGAAAATTAACATATTTTAGCCTGTCGGCTTCAAGTAATTGAATGTTTAATAACTTAAAATTGCAGGCTGCAGACAGAAAGAGCCTTTTTTCATAAAGTCCTATTTTTTTCCTATTTTCTTCTTTTAGACAGGCCCTCTTCAGTTTAAGCTCTTCTTTCTGGTGGATTCTTGTATAAGATTAGTGAACACTTTAAGAAATCACCAACTATGTAATTACAGCCATATAACAAGGATCACCAACTTTCCAGCTCCAAACCCTGAGGTTCTTATTGCCTTGTATCTCCTATGTTCAGTCAATTCACATTTTAGTTCTGTTGCTTGATGTATCCTATTTCTTGGTACCAATTTTGATATAGTGTGCTTAGTTGCAATCAACAAAAACTGGTCTGGATTTTTTATGCGTAAAAGCAATCTACTGAAAACATATATTGGTTGGTATAAATAACTGCTAAAAGGTTATTTACTATGAACCAATACTTTGAAAATGAGCAAGAAAGGAGGAAATATAGGTCATGGCTAGGACCAGAGTCTAAGTCACAAAATCAGCCCAGGAATAATGATGCTGAGCACCAATTGCTCTGCCATTGTCCTCCCAGCACTAGATCTGGACTCCGTCACTCTCTCCCTACCTCACTGGACTTGAGAACTCAATATTGCTGTTGCACCATCTGCACCAAAGTGATTTCTCCAGGGTCTATTTTTCATCTCTTCATCTTTAGTTTCTAATTCAGAGTCTGGAACTGAGTGGCCAATCGTAGATCACAAGCTCATGTTCTACTCCAAGGGAGGCTGAAAATTGGATATCTGATATTTTTGACTTTCATAATGGTTGGTGGGTTCTGCCTCCTATGAGTTAGAAAATTCCCTAAATATAAGCAGTAAAATTCGATCCTGGGCAGGCAAAAACAAAAACAAAACAGAACAAAACAAAAATGCCCACTACATCCTTGTCTAACTTTAGGCTCATTAGCTGTCTCTTAGGAGCACTCTCTCCTTTACTACAACTCAGATTGTTCCACCAACTCAGTTCCCAACACTTGGGTTTTTCCTGAGGCTAAATTCTACCTGATGGAAGGGCAAAAACAAAGGGGAAAGAAGGGGTTATCCCCCAAAATTCCTTCTCCTCAGCTCAAGACCTCACTAGATAGGATGGCTATGTCTTAGAGACTTTCGTGCCATCCTTCAAATGACATCTGATTTATGTCGTGTACCACCAGACCCAGGTTCAAGTGGGAAAGCAGAGAAGCCCTCATGTAATATTCTTCCCACTCTCTAGTTTTGTTCAAAGGCACTGTAAGTGAGCTAAATGTTCCTTTTCTTCAGGCTTAAAAAAGTAAAACTAATACTTCAGAGTCTGGTTTCTCCGTGTTTCCCCGCCCCCCCCCTCCCCAACTTTTTCTTTTGAATTAGCATATCTGAATTCTGGAGAACTCAAGAGGAACAGACCCATCTTCAGTCTTCGGGGACTGGTGTTCTACAGCACAACTGGGCATAGTATCAAGCCTCTTTTGGAGGACATTTACTCTAGTCACACAACCAGGATGTGATTGGTAAAACATGCATATGCAGGCTGAGAAACTACTGATTTACAGTAAGTTACTTCTCTTCCTGAAGGTTTTGTTTCTACCTCCTGGAAATGAATAAAATACAGATAATCTATCAAGAAAATTGCACTCCCGTCTTGTGTTACTTAGAGGATTCATAACATAGCAGTATGGCAAGACACTTTTCTGGCCTTGTGTTTCTATGGCTATAATTATGAAACACTGAAAGTGGCTGATTTGGTTTGATAAACTGTGAGTTTCCCTTTCCCGGGGCATGGGCAAGGGTTAGTTCTCTGTCCTCTTCACCAAACTCAGGAGCCACCTTCCACAGAGAGAAGAGAATTGTGTTTAAAGGATTGCTTAATTTTTGTCACTGCCAGAGTAATCACTTTCCCTGAACTTCTCCACATTTCTCTTCTGAAGCAAACCTAGAACAGGGTTTCTCAACTGCATACCATTGATATTTTGGTTCAGATAATTGTTTGTCATGGGGGCTGTCCCATGCACTGTATGATGATCAGCAGAATTCCTGGCCTCTGAAAACTAGATGCCAGTAGCATAAACCCTTACTCTGATCACGACAGTCAAAATAGACTCCCAAGACTACCAAATGTTCCCTCGTGGGAAAAATTTTCCCACTGATTGAGAACCACTGACGTAGAAATATACTGGCCCCCTAGTGATCTCTGTGTAAACTAAGTATACCTCTATATACCAAGAAGTAGAGCTATCAAAAATCACATTTTGAAAGTGGCCACCAGGTCGCTTACGCATAGCCCACACCTGCCAAAATTCCCAAGACTAAATAAATATTAGAGTTACCAGAGTAGCTTTTTAAAAATACTAATGTTAGTTTGGAGAAACATGGTGGAGTGAGAGATGTCCCCAGATCTCTCCCCTTGAATCAACAATAAGCTAAACATCTAAAACTCAACAAGAAACACCCAAACTACACAACAGCACATCTGAGCGTGAGATCTGCACATAACAGATCTGCACATAACCATGGGTCAGAGCCTGGGTGTCAGGTGGTAGACTAGGAGAAATAAAGAAGCTGCCTCTCACAGCCTCTAGAGCTCCTTGTGGGAGGAGAAGGAGGGGAGAAGGTGCGGCAAGTTCCCTGAACAAGCTTGACTGGGAGTGCTGTGAGCTCTATGTGTCGGCAGCAGGGCCCAGTCATCAGGGCAGAAAGCAGAGAAGTGGAAGGGGACCATAAAGAAACAACAGTTGATTTTTACCAGCTGGGGTTGCAAAACTGAGGCTGAGCTGCAGCCCCCAACTCCCAAATAGAGGGCAACTCCCCCCATACCTTCTGAGACCAATTACCAGGGAGCCCCAGGGGAATCTGAGCAAACACTGCAGACACCATCGAAGACACTGAAAGGGATTGAAACTGAGGGTAGTGAGCATAATTAAAATCTACAAGGAAATTAAAAAGGCATTATTAAGGCTTTCTATAAAGATTCCCAGAGTCTTAGACGCCACCTACTGGAAATCAAAAGAAAAGTATCTTCTTTGCAGCAGGCTAAAGAGATACTTTTATATAATAAAACTTCTTTCTGGAAAAACAGCAGAATACACTTCCATTAATGCCCAGGCACAGAAATAGTCCACTAAACACCATGAACAACCAAGGTGACAAGGCATCCAAAAGAAAGAGGAAAATCTCCAGAAAATAAGCTTACAGACATAGAAATATGCGACTTAAATGACAGAGAATCTAAGATGGTACTTCTGAAAAAACTCAGTGAGTTCCGAAATTAGTCATATCAAGAATTTCAGGAACTGAAAAAACAACTAGATGAGCAGAGCAAGGAGATTGAAACTCTTAAAAATAACTGAATAGGCCTTCTGGACATTAAACAAACAAACAAACAAACAAACAAACAAAAACACTGAGAGAGTTGAAAAATGAAATAGCAAGCTTGGGAAAAAGAGTTGACCAAATGGAGGAAAGGATCAGTGAGGTCGAAGATAGAAATCTAGAAATAAATCAGAAGGAGGAAGAGAGAAACTAAAGAGTGAAAAATAATGAAAGAGAAATACAAGAACTAGCTGATATAGTCAGGAGAGGAACATAAGAATAATGGGCATTACTGAAGGCGAGGAAAAAGAGCAGGGAGTAGAAAGCATTTTCAGACAAATAGTAGGTGAGAATTTCCCAAATCTAAAGAATGAGCTAGACCTTGGAATTCAAGAAGTCAACAGAACACCCAATTATCTCAAGCCAAAAAGGCCTTCACCAAGACACATTGTATTAAAATTATCAAAAAATCAACCACAAAGACAGAATTCTAGGGGCAGGCAGGGA